AGTGTTATCTCGGATCATGTACTGAGAGCAATGGATGCCGGGGAAGTGTCGGTGTTGGTACTTTTGGACCTGTCCAAATGTTTCGATGTGGTGCCGCACCAAAGACTTTTAGAGAAGCTCGCGCTGTATGGCGTCGAGACGGAGTGGTTTACGGACTATCTCAGCGGCCACACGCAGCAGGTACAGATTCCCAACAGTGGCGGGGGCGAACACCTGCAGTCCCGTGTCAGTCCAAACACGATAGGCGTGTTTCAGGGCGGATCCCTTAGTTGTACTTTGTTCTCAGTGTTCTCTAACGAGATGAGCCTGTATCTGCCTGAAAAGATCCATATCGTACAATTTGCGGATGACACACAGCTTCTTGTCAGTGGTAAGAAAAACGGCCTACCACAGCTGATAGATCTCATTGAAAGTGCTGTTGAATGCCTGTACATGTGGTTCTGTACCAACGGCATGAAGTTAAACGCAGCCAAAACGCAGGTTCTTGTGTTAGGAACCCCTGCGATGCTCCGAGGACTGCCACCTGTCACCCTCAAAATCATGGGCGCCGTTATTCCCGACTCGAGAGTTGTCAAAAACCTTGGCGTTATCATGAACTCCCATTTAAACTTCAAGAGTCACATAGATTACGTAACTGCAAAGTGTACCGGCGTCCTCATCGGACTAATGCATGCAAAACATGTCATACCCAGAAACTCTCTGCCAACCATTGTTCAGGCACTTGTGAACTCTGTTGTCAGGTACTGTATATCGGTGTACGGTACATGCGGCGACACGCAACTCCACAGCGTGCAGAAACTTTTGAACTTCGGTGCCCGAGTTATCAGTGGCCGACGCAAATACGACCATATTAGTGACGTTCTCCGCGATCTGCACTGGCTCGACGCTGCGCAGCTTGTCAGGTATCATCGTCTGTGTATGGTGCATTCAGTCACCGCCACGGGAAGACCCGAGGACATAGCGATCACCATAGGAGAAGTGACACAGCACCAGTACCGGACGCGTGACGCCGGCCGACATGTGTTACCGAGGATACGCACGGAGGCCGGACGCCGGCGGCTGTGTTACAGCGCCGTGCGGGACTACGGCCGTCTCCCGCTCGATGTCAGCGTACGCAGCTTCAGGTGTCAACTCAGGAAATACTTACTGCGGGAGCAGAATGGCAACTCGTAGGTCGCGTTAAGTGAACTGCCTTGTACTGCCCCGAATCTCGTCTTTTTTTGTATCGTGTTTGACGTGAGGCAATGAAAACCCATGTTTCATGGATTTGTCACGAATAAAGAATCTGAATCTGAACCAGAACTGGATGGCCGATGGCACGTTCAAAGTGTCCCCAAATTTTATTCCTTCAACTTTAAACGGTTCATGCAATTCTGGGGAAGGACCATGTCATTCCTTGCATTTATGCTCTTCTTACGGCCAAAGCTAGGGTTCTTTATGACCAAATGTGAGAAAAAGTCTTAACATTTATTCAAAATTTGCAGCCAGTCTCTTGTACCACTGATCTTGAAGTCGCAGCACATCAGTCGATGAGACACCTTTTTCCTGCGATTCAAATTAGGGCATGTTTTTTCTTCATTTTGGGCAAGCAATCTGGAGGAGGGTCTGTGATTTGGGGCTTAGAATGTCATACATTCAGGACGAAAATGTTCGTATATTTACTAAAATGCTAGCGTCCTTGGCATTTCTTCCGTCTCAGATTGTGGTCAATAGCTTTGAGCAGCTGGATGAACTTCGGGAACAAAGTAATTTGGAAATTCTTGCACCCCTTTACGCATCATTTGAAGACACATACATGGGACAACTAACAAGGGGTGGGAGGGGAAGGAGGTGGGCAAAATTTGATCTGGAAATGTGGAACGTGAGAGATAGGACGACGGAAGGAATGCTAGGGACTAGACATGTCATTCGGATACCAACCTTTTGGTATACCGATACCAAACCGATACCAACTTGGTATTTGGTATTTCAAGGAGAGTGGATTTGGTATTTTGTTGGTATTATGAATCCTCACTAATGTAAAAAAGGCTGAGAATTTGGTATAAAGTTGGTATTTTCCTGATATTCCCAAGTCGGTTTGGTTTCGGTATTTTTCCATGGATATTGTTGGTATTGGTTTTATATCGGTATCTCGATTTTCCGTAATTGACATCACTACTAGGGACCAATAATAAACTCGAGGGATGGCACAGAGGGATTCAGTCGTTTCAGGGACCTCACCCAAATATCTGGAAATTCGTACGTTGCTTGGGGCAAGAACAAATTTTACAACATGCGGAACTGATCCAAATTCAAACGGGAGAATTTCGCGAAAAACAGCACAAGCAATATGAATCTCTGAACAAACGTTTGGTCACCATTATTGGTAAACAGCAGGGTGTTGAAATCGAACCGCTGGAATTTTTGAGAAATGTGGCATTAAATTTGGAGCTTAATGTCTGAACTTTGAGCGTGACATCCGCCATCCAGTTCCGGATATAGAGGATTCTTCATGGCTCCGAGTGGAAGATAAGGATATATTTTCCAAGCGGGTTACTGAAAAACCGAGCGACGAAGAAGCGAGGTTTTTCTGTAACACGCGAGGAAAAGATATTCGATCTTCCACGAGTGAGCCATGAAGAACCCTATATCTCTCTATGTTGAGGTTTATTCCTAATTATTTAAATATCACATTTATGAATAATATGATATTTAAATAATGCCATGTTTGAAAATAATGGCAGCTGTTGGCAAGTAGCTCGAAAGCGATTGTGACCCACCGCGCCATAATTGTCCTGAGGCCCCCTTAGGACGCCATCAAAAGTGGAGTGACATGGGCCTGGTCAGGCCTACAGCTTTCCAGATACATAAAAAATGTTCAGACATAAAAGGTGTAAAATTAACAGGGCTATAAAACTGCTATCTCGGATTTTTAAACTTTTGGATTTCGAACCCTAAAATTAAGAAGTAATTGCTTTTTATATAATAGCCAAAAAATCGCAAGAGTTTTTTTTTCGAATTTCGAGAAAATGGAATATACCTACCTATATGATAGACCCTGCTACCGTCTATCCACAAACCAAATTTTAGACTGATACCTCTTTTATGGCCAAGTTATAGCCAAAACACTTCGAAATTGATGACACAAAAATTTTAAACCTATTTTTTGGCAATTATCGACCACGTAGCGCAAAACAAAGGCCGTTATTAGACTCCCCGTGACGAGCTGCATCGAATCAATACCCATTTTATGCAAAAATATCAATGTTGAAATTTGACCTAATCTGACCTGACCTTGACCTGACCTTCACCAGAAAATAACGTTAACTGGCCCCAAAGGTTGTCTGACCCACATAATGTCATTTGTCATGTAAAATGGACCATAAAACATGTATCACACGACACTTTGATATTGTGACTCTCGGTGACCTGACCTCTGTGACCTGACCTGGTATTAATGACCGCAAATAGAAAATATGTGTTTTATGGACAATTCCCCCATCGATGATTTTCAATAACATGCCTTTTACTCGATTCTACAACGCATTTCTTGAAATCCCTGTAAACGGTAAAAATTCGATCTTTGGCCTGACCTAGGACGTCATCGGTTGGACCAAGCAGTGGCGCGGGAACTTCTTCCAGACTGGGGGGGGGGGGGGCTGAACCATAATAGAAATCAACCTAGGGTACCCCCAAATCTAGTTTTCTCACCGGTTTTAGGCCACTTATTTTTCAGACATTGGCCTTTTCAACAACAAAAAAAAAACACGAAAATATTTTCAAAAAGTGAGGTATTCCGTCTCAGCTGAGTGAAGAAACTACCGTTTTGGCAACCTGGAGTAAAGGTTTTAATCTGCCAAATGAGTTGCCGAGCCAGTGAAATAGGTGGATTTTTCACTTACATGCTTTCTTCCTTTGTGACCCACAACCCCTAATTTGGGGAGGACAAGCTGCCCAACGGTTCCTGGCCTCATGAAACGTTGTGGGGCACCGCCCCCACGGCCGCAGAGTTGTGGGGGCAAGCTTCCCCCACTGCCCCCTCCCCCGGTTCCCACGCCTATGTATGAATCTATGAAATTATGTTGGTAGATTTCCGATTTCGATTCCTCCAGCTGGGGGGGGGGGGGGCTCAAATGCATTACGAGCCCCCCAGCCGAAAAGCTGGGGGGCTCAGCCCCCGTTAGCCCCCCCCCCCGGTTCCCGCGCCACTGGGACCAAGGTAAATGAAATTGGGTCACAAGGTAGTTCCGTGGATGCTATCCAACGCCGTTTGAATTTTCAAAATCGGCCGGTAACTTTCCGAGATCTTAGGGGGGGGGGTGTCGAAACGCCCCCCCCCCCCCCACGGGTGGCAGGGTCCGCTGATAACCCTACGGGGCGCGGGTTAAATCTGTCAGTGTATTGCAAAGACCACATTCAATAACTAAATTCAGTGCACTGCGGGCTTGTGGAATATTTGCTCAGGTATGGAATAGAGATTACACCCTTAGGTGGTTTTTAGCCAAATTAAGGTGGCAGTGCATCAGCATACATATCAGTAACAGTGGAGGCGATTTCGACAGCTTGTCTATGACGAACTGTCGAAATCGATTGCACTTTTACCGAACTGTGTGCATTTTGCCTATATTTGGCCGCAATAAGGTATAGTCACTACTTACTAGTCAGCTAGTTTTGACGAACACAAAACACGCAGTAATCACCATATTTTACGCATGGCATTCGTGACGAAAAACCGCGGGGAAGGTCTGTCTAGAAGACCCTCTCCCTCCCTAACAGTGCGAGGGCAAATGAAAAGGGACTAATTAAGACAAAGAACACGGACGCTTAGTAGTTGAGCTAATGTAAACCTGAATGTTGGAATTGCTTGAGTTACATGAACAAGTAAATACGCAACAGGAGCGGATTTTGCTACTCGCTCACCATTGTAGTCCGTTTGTAATACGCATTGACTCTGGTCATGTAGCCCCAGTCAATATGTGGTCAGCTCCAATGGCCAGCGCGGGCGCGGTCGATTGACTCACGATGGCAGGTGACGTAGGTGCGCCAGACTGCGACTGACACCCTCCAGCGTGCGCACCACCTCTGCCTGCGCGGCGCCCACTGCGCGCGTCTCGGCGCCTTTAGTCTGCTCGTAGGTGCGCAGGAACTCCTGCATCTCCTGCTCTCGGCGCCGCAGCTCGCGGTACTTGAGGTTACGCTCCGAGTTGCTGTCCTCCAGATCCTGCCCACATTGTCAGAGCCGAGTCAGGGAGTCACACTCCTTATCCACTCAGAAAAGCCCTCGGCACAGAGGAGTTTGTCTAATCAGAGATGTCTGTCCAATCACAGGAATCTGAGGAGTCTGTTCAGCCAGTCTGTCCAGTCGGAGGTATATGTCGGATCAGAGATGCATGTCCTGTGTCCACAGTCCAGCCACAGGATTCCTCCATGTCAGAGAAGTCCTTCAGGCAGAAGACTGTGACTTGTCCAGTAGGGTTTTCCGGACCAGGTAGTGCGGTCCTTTTGAACCGGTTTATGGCAAAAAGAGTTATTCCACACCAGTAAAGTTTATATAATTGGTAGCTTTCGAAGGCTACTGCCTTCTTCGTCATCCATAGGTATATGTTCTAAGTTCTAACACAACAAGACAATACACATTTGAAAAAATACAATCTCATTTTCACGCGGAAATAGTTAAAGTGCTCGCCTGGTTGGAAGGATGCAAATACATAATAACACTTACACATTTCGTTAAACAATGATATAAAGCCTCAAAGTACGGTTCTCCAGGGTATTAGTCGTTGGTCGCTCGGCGAGCGGGAGGGCAACCAGTTCCGCCCCTGTATCGCGTGACCCCTTGCTCCGCCCAGTTACCCACGAGCGTACTCCACGCCGCGTAGTAGCGTGGGGAGGGGAGGGTTAGGATGGTGGCATGTGTAGAGGCTAGAACCGGTTTCCACCGCCATGCCACCGCCCAGCGACATGGAGCGGGGTCAGTGACCAGGGCGCAGGGAAAGGTCAGAGGCCAACTATAACGTAGAGCTTTGTGTCTCCCTCCCCTCCGCGTGTAACGACGCACGACAGCGGCCGGCCGCCGATCAGGCTTGACATGTCAAGGTCACCCGCAGTCAACGGGCGCAGAGGGTTGGTCGAGTGCGCGTCCGTGGCTGACGACAGTCTCGACCATGTGCTATGGTGCCGATAGACTAGCGTGGGTAATAAGTTTTTGTTCAGTGCATATGGCTGCTGGGGTGTGTCATCTTGATATGATGCCTTGTAACGTGTATGATACGCTTAAAACCTCGCTGGCAGTGGCCGAGAGGAGAGGGAGGGGGTGGGTGCCGCCTCCACATGTTTATTTTTGTTGACAGCTGCGAAAGCTGGAATTTGGCAAGCTTGACCTTTGATTCAAGCTGAATTTTTATGACAGCAGCTGTATTTTCACCCTCGCCCATATTGGTGTTTTGCCAGCGTCTATCGTAAAGGGGGGGGGGGAGGAGGGTCCATTGGACCCCTTTGCCGTTCAGCCCTTGATCGAGCTAACGCTTCGCGGAAAAAGAGCGTGTTGCCCGTGACGAGAGGAGGCCGATGATACCCAATTTTAAGGTCCTAGGTCATTGGTTGACAGGTCAATATAACTCAAAAGTCGGGGAACCGGGACCCGTTAGAGCTTCGTAAAGTGAAGCTGTTCAAGGTTAAAGGGTTTTGCGGGGTGCTGATCACAAATTTCAAGTTAGTTTTGATCACAGATGATGTTTTCGTGCATTTAGGCCAGGTCGGGTCAGGTCAGGTCACGTCACATGTTACGAGGGAACCAAAACTACTTCTTAAATGTTCAAACGGTTTCTAAATGCGAAATCAACTCCAAAATCTACCCTAGAAACATGTAGAAATCGAAAGAGTGAACAAAGGTCATCAAAAGTCAGTGACCTGACTGACCTTCACGTGACCTTGATACCTACTAGAATCCATGGGATCAACATCCTTTCGCATGTTTGATCGCTTAAAGCCACAAAAAGACAATAAAACGCGCTCTATTCGAAATACGCCAAAACGCGATTCCGGCCAAACATGGTTTCGGAAAACAGGTCACAGGTCAAAGGTCTTTTGAGTCAGGGTCATATAAATTACAGGGTAGGCGTAATATTGATTAACTTGAGGGTACTGAAAGTTTCGTCGCAATCAGCCGCTTTTTGCGCGAGTTATTTGCGAAAAACTGAGGGTAGGAGGTCTGTTCGACACCCTCCTACAAGTGCGAAGGTTAAGGTCAGGCCGTTGACCAATGACGTCAAAAGTGAACCTCTGTAAGGTCCCAAAATGTCGCGACGTCGCAGCACCCTTCGTGCCAGGGGACTTTTCAACGGGGAATGAAGCTTATATGATCTAGTAGGTACTATCTCACAGAGTCCTCACAACTTGTATGTAGCTATCTCGTATTTTTCTTAAGAGTCACCTGAAGTCAGGTCGGTCACGCAACCTCACGATTATTAATCAATTGGGAAATATGAAAGCTGTTATTTTGGCATTTTGGCGCCGGGAGCCAGCTAAAGCTGTCTCAAGCGCATTAATTCGCGATTTTATACAATCTTTGCAAGCCCCAGCACTCAGCAGTCACTTTTAAAGTTAGGCGACCTCATTTATGACGTCACTAAGGTCACAGGAGTTTTCACCAAAAAGTCCCGATCAAATTGAGCTAGCGAGTCGGGAAGCCACCAGTGGACTTGTGAGGACCTACCCAATCGAAGAAGCTATATGACCTCCTTGGGCCAGCTTCGTGGCCTGAGTGTCTCTGCCCTGACCATGACCTGATGTGAACACCTTAAATTGACCTCAACGAAAACAAAGCGTATACTATTCGACGCGCTTGAGCTGGAGCATGTAAAACTCGATGGTGCCATTATGTTGGCTCTGTAACCACTTAACCCTCGCCCGTAAACGGCGATCTGCCACCTTCGCCCATGCAGGGGGGGGGGGTTGGTGCGACCCCCCTCCCTTAGCGTTTGAAAACGGAGCGTCGTAGAGCTTAGCGGAAAAAACCAACGGATTGCTCTCAACGAGATCTCGCGATTGGTGGTATATTTTTTGGTCCTAGGTCAACATTTGACCTACTTTTGACCGGTCAAAGGTCAAATTTTCGGAAAAATAGACTTTTTCAACTTTCCGCGGCGATTGCGGAAAAACGGTGGGAGATATCGACTTGAAACCTTCACTATCGTGTTCCTTGATCAATTCTCTATCGTTTGGTATGTATTTCGTTTCCCTAGCTCTAAAAATGGCGCGTTGGGAGCGCCGGAAGTCGGCAAAGTCACAGTCGGCGGCAGAAATTCGAAAAATCAAAATTTAAATTTTTGAAATCTGATTGTATTTTTGGATTTGGGAGGTCCATTTGCTCCCTATAGAAGCTAATATTGCTGCATATTCCCATTGAGGTGACAAGAATTAGCAAAATAATGGTTCGGACGCTTTTCAAAAATAGTACCGGACGCTGTTCCTCTTGTGACGTCATAGCTCCGTGACCTGACCTGACCCGGTCAAGTTCCTTATACCATATGATAGCCAATACTTGCCCCAACATACATGGGAAGTTTCATCACGATCCATCAACCGATGTCCGTACCACCGGCAGGAAACCTCGGGCGTTGGCACTCAGTTTGTGAAAATCCGGCCGGAGGCTGTTCCCTTTGTGACGTCATAACTCCATGACCTGACATGACCCGGTCAAATTTTTTTCATCAAAAGATGCGCAAGGTTTGCCCCATAAGGTACCCAAAATTTGGCGGCGCTGCGCGCCGCCGTTTTTGCACTATTTCCGAAAAACCTCAGGGGGGGGGGGGGTTGCACCAACCCCCCCCCCCCCTACATGGGCGAGGGTTAAGTGGTGAAGTTGTTTACCAAAAACCGATCCCGCGACTTGGAAGACTTATACTGACCTCAGAGTTTATCGGTTGACCTGAGACATTCAACTCGGGTACCAGTTGCTGCATTTCATACGACGCACGCGCTCAGTTTTATCCGCAAGGCGCTAGCTCAATTAGGGGCAAAAAGACGGAGAGGGGTCGCAATCGCACCCCCCCCCCTCGGCCGGGGTATATGCAGAAAACCCAAAGGCCAAAATTCCGTTGAGGGTTAAGCACTGAAGTGATGTTATGATGCGAGAAGGTTAAGGTCAAAACAAGCATGCACACGAGCGGGTGTGAATAAAACTGTGTTCGAGGTATGCCTTTTTTATTATACATTCGATTTGCTTTAATTATTGGTAAGAACAGATACAACCAAGAAGAGCGCCCCTGAAGAAAAGGTGGCGCACCGGACGGGTGCGATTTTAAGGTCTAAGGTCAGTCGGGGACCTCTAAGTTCGGATCAAGCGCTCCATGTTAGGGGTAAAAGACTGGGGGCAAAAAAGCATCCCGATTTTGGCAGCATCGTCATGCTTTGTCATGGCACTCATCCACTCCCTCAGCCGAAATATTATTTCCCTTTTGTATGAGTTCTGGCATAATCCCGCACATTATGCTGCATGTTGTTTGCCATGAAAAAAAAACAATGCATGTTCAGCTACGTTCTACGCAGTACGCACTAACCTAACCACCATCCCATCATCCACCACTAGCCACCATCCCGTTCTGTGCCCCCTTCCACCCCACACGAATCAGCCGAGATACTACTGTTAACGCCAGACCCCTTGAGACCTTAATTTTTCGCGATTATTTTTAAATGCGTGGAAGAATTTCAACCAAGCTCAGGCCATGGCCGTTTCAAGACCTGCCGAAACTTTTACAATTAAGATATTTTATCGCCATTTCAATATTTCAGGCACTTCTCATTGACTCGTAATGTTAAATTTCGAGCAAGATTTTCACCCGGTGTGTAGAGGCTATCACCAGTCAGCCTGTGATACGTTATGACGTCACAGCTAAGCCCCGCCTCTGTGGTCTTGGCCTGCGGCGGTTTCGGGCCAGCGCGCGGTCACTCTCGCTGTGGCGGGGAGCAGGGACGGTCGAGCGGTGCCGAAAGCCGGCGGAGTTGTGCGTAACGTCTTGGCTGACAATGCCCAAAGAGCGACATGATGACTGAGGAGCCATAAATGCTCAATGGGCATTGTTTGTACAGTCTGTCTTAAAAGTACCGCGCAAAGTGACGGTGGATCCATCAAGCCTGACTGAGGAAGGGGCTGCTATAATTTGAAAGTCACCGAACCAATTGACCTAGGGAATGGACGAGGATGTGAATTGCTTCAGTGAC